TTGTCACTGACTATATAATCTTCTGTGTGGACAACATCATACCCACCAGAACAGTGAGATGCTTTGCTAATAACAAGTGAACTGACGAATCTGCTAAATGAGAAAAAAAGCTTTCCAAGGAGGGAGACAGGGGATTATTGAGGAGTATACAGAAGCAACTGAAGATCAAGATCAGAGACTGCAAGGAGGCATACAAGAAGAAGCTGGAGAACAAACTACAGAGGAACAATACCAGAGATGTCTGGTCAGGGAAGAAGAAGATCACAGGCTTCAAGCAGAGGAAGGATTGCACAGATGGCAGCCTGGACACAGCCAATGAACTGAACAAGTTCATCAATAGGTTCAGTTCAGGAACAAACCCAGCATCCTCCTCGCCTGTCCCCAGGCAATCAGACATCCCATCCTCCTCTGATATAACATTTTCCTGTCACACGCCAGCTCTTTTGTCCTCTAACGCAGTCATGGACTCTTCTGGTTCTATAAATCTGTCTTCAACCAAGTCAGGAGATGCTGCTGCCCCATTTACCTCCCCCTCCCACCTATCTGTCTCTAGAAGTCAGGTGAAGAGGCAGCTGGAGAGACTGAACAGGAACAAGGCTGCAGGTCCAGATGGTGTCAGCCCCAGGGTACTGAAGGCCTGTGCAGAGCAGCTCTGTGGGATTCTGCAGCACCTCTTCAACCTCAGCCTGGCCCAGGAGAAAGTTCCAGTCCTGTGGAAGACATCCTGCCTTGTTCCAGTTCCAAAGAAAACTCGCCCATCAGTCAATGACGACTACAGACCGGTTGCCCTGACATCCCACATCATGAACGTCCTGGAGAGACTCCTGTTGGTCCAGCTGAATAAGCAAACTAGGACATATCAGGACCCGCTGCAGTTTACTTATCGCCATGGAGTTGGAGTTGAAGATGCCATCATCCAGCTGCTTCAACCAATCCACTCTCATCTGGACAAAGCAGGCAGCACTGGTTTTCGTAGAGCTCATTCTACTGAAACAGCTCTTCTTAGGGTTTCTAATGACCTTCTGACTCACAGTGATGCAGGGGACTGTTCTGTTCTGGTTCTGCTGGACCTGACTGCAGCCTTTGACACTGTTGACCATCACCTGCTACTGGAGAGGCTGAGAGACTGGGTAGGCCTATCAGGATCTGCTCTGGAGTGGTTCTCCTCTTATCTCTCTGAGCGCTCCTTTTCTGTGGCCGTCTCCAAGTTTAGGTCCTCCACCACCTCTCTTACCCATGGTGTCCCACAAGGTTCTGTGCTGGGGCCTCTGCTCTTCCTCCTCTATCTGCTTCCTCTTCAGCACATCCTGAGCTCCTTCAAAGGAATCTCCTACCATCTTTATGCATATGACATCTAACTGTACATCTCCTTTAAGCCCCATGAGATGTCTAAGCTGCAGCTGTTACACACCTGCTTAGACTCTATCAAAACCTGGATGGTGGGAGCTTTCTTCAGCTGAATGAAGATAAGACTGAGATCCTCATCTGTGCCCCAGACAAGCTGGTTCCCAAAGTCAGAGACTCTCTTGGTCAGCTTGCTTCCCACACCAAACCTTCTGTCAGGAATCTTGGCGTGACCTTTGACCCAGCTCTCACCCTGGATTCTCATGTCAGTTCTCTTGTTGGCTCTTCCTTCTTCCATCTCAGGAACGTTGCTAAGCTGAGTCCCATTCTGTCCCGTTCTGAACTTGAGACAGTTCTCCACACCTTCATCTCCTCACGCTTAGACTACTGTAACTCTCTTTTCACGTGTCTGAGCAGAACCTCCCTGAACCGTCTACAGGTGGTTCAGAACGCCTGTGCTCGGCTTCTGACCAAGTCCTCCAAACACACCCACATCACCCCGCTTCTCCTCCAGCTTCACTGGCTGCCAGTCAACTTCAGGGTTCATTTCTAGATCCTGGTTCTGGTCTATAGGGCCTTACATGGACAAGCACCATCTTACATTGGTGATCTTCTTAGTCCCTACACCCCCAGCAGGTCCCTGAGGTCCAGTGACCAAAGCCTACTGGTTGTGCAGCACCAGGCTAAAGGTCAAAGGTGACAGATCATCTGCTGCTGTGGCCCCCAGACTCTGGACCTCTCTCCCCCTGAGCCTGAGATCAGTGGACTCAGTGGTCTCCTTTAAAAAGCAGCTGAAGACTCACTTGTTCAAGCTGGTTTTGGTATGACCTTCTTCACCTCTCTCTCTTTATTCTGCTCTCCCCACCTATTCCACCTTCCTCAGGATCCACTGATTTCCCTCTTTCCTGTTCACTCTCTCTCTTTCTTAACATTTTTTAATCACAATTGTCTATTTTTGCTCATTTTAAATATATTTTTAAACATTTTCTAAATGCTTTTTTATATTTTTACATTTTTTTGTTTTTGTGAAGCACCTCGTGATTTTTATCATGAGAGGCGCTATAGAAATGATTCTTCTTCTTCTTCTTCTTCACTGTGAGGGTCATGTTCTTTGATGTCTCCAGTGCATTTAACACAATCCAGCCTGATGTACTTTGCCAGAAACTCCAGAAGACACAGGTGGGGGCCTCAACTATCACCTGGATTAAAGACTACCTGACAAACAGACCACAGTTTGTGAGGCTGAAGAACTGCACATCAAACCAGGTGATCAGTAACATTGGAGCACCACAGGGCGCTGTACTCTCACCATTCCTTTTCACCCTGTACACCTCAGACTTCCAGTACAAGTCAGAGACCTGTCATCTACAGAAATACTCAGATGACTCTGCAGTTGTCGGGTGTATCAGAGATGGACAGGAAGCTGAGTACAGAGAGCTGGTGGAGCGCTTTGTGGCATGGTGTGGAAACAATCATCTGACCTTGAACGTGAACAAAACAAAGGAGATGATTTTAGACTTCAGAAGAAACAGGGTGGAGTCAAACACTGTTTCCATCATGGGAGAAGAAGTGGAGGTGGTTGAGGAACACAAATACCTTGGAGTTCACCTGGACAACAGACTGGACTGGAGAAAGAACAGCGAAGCCGTTTACAAGAAGGGACACAGCAGACTGCACTTCTTGAGGACGCTTAGGTCCTTCAGTGTCTGTAGCAAGATGCTGCAGGTCTTCTACAAGTCTGTTGTTGAGAGTGTGATCTCTTCAGCCATCGTCTGTTGGGGTAGCAGCATCAGAAGCAGGGACCTGAAAAGGCTCAACAGCCTAATAACAAAGGCTGGTTCTGTTCTGGGGACGACTGTGGAACCGCTGGAGGAGATAATGCAAAGACGGATTCTCCAGAGAATCAAGAACATGATGGACAACCCTGAGCATTCTCTTCACAAGACTGTCCGACAACGGAAGAGTGTCTTCAGTCAGAGGCTTCTTCAGTTTGGCTGCAACACTGACCGCTACTGGAGATCCTTCCTGCCAACAGCCGTTGTAATATACAACACCTCTTGGATGACCTGATTATTATTATTATTCTGAGCTACTACAGCAATTAATTTCCCTCTGGGATTAATAAAGTATTTTTAAATTAAATTGAATTGAACTGAAGAATTCCTAAAAGTCATACTACTGACAGAAAGCAGATGGACCTGTTCCCACATTTGGAGTTCATTCATTTATCTGTTGTTGGTAGGAGCCTAGGGTTGCACAAACTGATGCAAAATGAGTTTTGTATTATGTCCCCTTTAATAAAACTTGGTTTTTGTTTGAGACCATCAAGTTTTTTGATCCAGAACCAATACCGCCACTATCCAGCATCCAACATCTAAGCTAACCGTTAGCATTAGCAGCATTACCACAATCAGCTCATTGATGTGGGTAACTTTTAGGTTTGAGAAATGGTGCACCAGTATAATTCTGCACCCTGAGAATGACTTACAAGTTTCTCTGTTGGCATCATGGCGGAGCCTGGAAGTAAAAGTAAGAGAGTAATGTGACATGGATGGGGAGAAAACTATGAAATCCGAGGCACTCGTTAAGTTTTATATTACATTATAAGAGTAATGTCTTTGGAGGTGAAGCAAAGAGCTAAAACCAGAGTGAACATCAGCACGGCCTACGCTAGTTTGAGGGAGCTAAAGAAGGCTACTAAATCACGGACCGATGGTGACCTGGCTTTGTTGCTGCTGGACTTGTAAGTAATAATACTTTGTCCAACGGTGTGGATCTTTTTACTTTGTGGTTTGTTTTGGTATTAGTTAGTATTAGCTCATTGTTAGCGCTAGCTACAGCAGGCTGCTGAAGGGTTGTTTACCACAGTTGTAATTCTACTTTCAACCAGTAGGGTGGAGGAGCAGGAGATGGCTCTGTGTTACTTTAAAGGGGACATATTGAGCTAAACTGACCTTTTGCATCATTTCTCCTGTTGAATGGCTCCGTACTGCATCTATAAACACTCCAGGTGTTAAACAAAATCGATCTTTTGTTGTCTGTGTTTGGTTTTTGGAATACTGCCTAAAACAAGCTGTTTCAAAAAGTCCCTGTTTGTGAAGTCACACACAAGGAAATCTGCACAGAACCACCGCTCGTGTGCAAGACTCAGAGCTCCGAGATAGATATCACAGCTTCTCAGCTAATAGCAGCCTAATGTGGGGATGGGTGGGCGTGGCCAGCTTATTTACTTAAAGTGACAGAACCCTGAAATGGCTCATTCTGGAAGGTACTGAAACTGTCAGGAATAAAACTGCTGAGATCAGTTTACGTGAGAGGGATTTAGTGCAAAGCGCATGTTAGGTGTCAACCATGAAATGTTACAACTTAGGAATAAAAGTCACAATATGTCCCTTAAATAGCCTCATGTTAAAAACTAAAGCTGCACACGATAGGAGTGGACCCCCCCCCCCCCCCTTCATAGTCCTCCCAACGTCTTAAGGCCATGTTACTCTGTGGGATCGTGCCCCTGATCTATTTAGGTCTCCACTGATATAACTATGTAAAAATGAGTGTTTTAACTACAGCAGAGGGACCAACCCATCCCTCTTCAGACCCACAGACACGAGAGGACTTCATCAGTCCTACATAATAAAGTTTTAGTGTGAAAAACTTACACGGGCCAGAAGAAGGAGGCAGCTTTCACGCCCTGCTTCAGTGCTGTGATCCAGATCTGAACAGAAGATCAAATCAGTTAACCGTTTGACTCCAGCACCATCACCAGCTGGTGGTGGCCATCAAGCTACTCCCGTTAGCAATTCTCCTGATTTCCTTTGTTCTGAGCAGCAGTGAATATAACTGCATCCTGGTTTGTGTGCCGAGGAAATCTGTGAATCTACAGTAAATCCAACTAGTCTGGTCTTTAATCCTAGCTTTTATTAAAACCAAATGAGCCACTGCAGCGGGCAGAACTTACTGGTTGACCCCCCCACCAGCGGTGGTTCAGTTTTTCACGACTCCTGAGGCTGAAGCTTGCGTCAAACGTTGGGTCGTACATGGAGTTTCCCACAATGCCGTGGGACTCTGGGTACAGGCCCTGGCAGAGATAAGAGTCAGAACACACACTCCACCGCGCCTAACCCGAACCAACCCACACTGCTGAAACCAACTGGTGGGCATTAAAAGAGGGGAGGGCCACACAAATGTCCCCACTCTGTTGATTAAAGCCTGTTGATGGTCCTAAGTATGTAGTAAGTATAGGAACACACACACACACACACACACACACACACTTACAGTAGCCAGTGAGTAGAGGTTAGGGAAGGTCTTGGATGGATAAACAGGCCTCATGTAGGGAGCGTGGGTTCCACATGTCCCTAAAACAAATAAGCACTCTAATGTTGAAGAGCAAACAACAACAAATGACACGAAGTCCAACGGCGAGTCAGACGTCCTCACGGCGACTCGTTTTATCGTTTCTATGATGGATGAAATTCTCCCATCAGCAACAATCTCCCTGTTCTTACTGAGCTTCTCGATGTGCGGAATGACGGCGTTCCCTCTCTTCACGTAGGAGGCTCTGAACCCGTCCACCGTCAGAATGATGAGCGGTGAACGCACAAACCTACACACACACACACACACACACACACACACACACACACACACAGACACAGACACACACACACACACACACACACACACACACACACACAGACACAGACACAGACACAGACACAGACACAGACACACACACACAGACACACACACACACACACACACACACACACACACACACACACAGACACAGACACACACACACACACACACACACACACACACAGACACAGACACAGACACACACACACACACACACACACACACACACACACACACACACACACAGACACAGACACAGACACAGACACAGACACACACACACACACACACACACACACACACACACACACACACACACACAGACACAGACACAGACACACACACACACACACACACACACACACACACAGACACAGACACAGACACAGACACACACACACACACACACACACACACACACACAGACACAGACACAGACACAGACACACACACACACACACAGACACACACACACACACACAGACACACACACACACACACACACACACACACACACACACACACACACACGGGTTAAACCACACATGTACCGGACCGGAGTCGGCCAGAGAGAGTGAAGCTCACCCAGCAGGACACTCAGCAGTCCTCATGTCCTCACACTCGTCCTGGAGCCAGGAGGTGTCCCCTGGGGGGGGGGGGGGAGTAGACTGGATCATTTTCAACCCTAAAAATACTATCCCTGATTTCTGAAACTCTAAAACATTGTAAAGAGAAATGATTCTGTTCTAGCCATCCTGCTGGAACTGTCTCTGGTTTTAGATAATGAAGCATCTTCTGGAACCTGCCTGCCACCCGCTGGTGCTAAACAGATTAAACATGGAGGGACTTCAGTCAGACGTGAATGCTGTACTTATATGCTACATCTAGCTCTTCACTTAACTCAACTGTTTATTTTTCCGTCAGACGTGACGCGGCTCTAACGGCAGCGTGCACCAACACACAGCCCGGGAGTCGGGAACTCTGGCTTTAGTGTTAACCTTTAACCTTCTAGATCACATGACCTCAGATCTGATTAAACAGGGGCGGGGTCTGAAGCTGCACCTTTACAGAGTTTTTTGTAGTTGGTGCAGCAGTCTCCCCGGGTCAGACAGTCTTCAGAGCAGTGGCAGGCGTGCTGCTCGTTCCGGGCCTCCCCACACCGGTCCTTGCTGCACTCATAGCCCCCCTCTGTGTGTCGAAGCAACAGAAGAACCAAGAACATCAGACTCATTCAGATTTAGAAGCACAGCATCCTCGTGACTCGGTGTTGCTCCATGTGCAGCAGGCCGTGTGAAACTGGCACCGAGGACTTGATGTTAGAGTCAGCGGTGAGCCAACGACCACCAGGCTGAAGGAGAGGACATTAATTCAGACCACCAGCACTGGGGGGTGGGAGGGTGAAGAGAGAGGGAGGAAAAGACAACAAACATGCAGAACTGGTCAAAAAACCAGAAACCCGTTTGAGCAGGTCTGCAGCACAGCTACACGACCAGCACGCATCACAGGAAACATTCATATGAAGTAGAAGAAAGCATCATTTCTATACCGCCTCAAGATAAAAATCACGAGGTGCTTCACAAAAACAAAAAATGTAAAAATATTTAAAAAATCGATGACTCTGGGTAAAAAAATGCAGATTAAACCATCAAATGTCCTTTTTCTGTTTGTTCTTATTTATTTGGTTTGTTGTGGACCAGGTCGGTCGGAGTTTTCTGGAACAAATGAAGAATTATTACACAGAAAGTTCAACACTCGCTCAGATCAACAGAACATTTACATTATAAAACCTGAAAGCTACATCCTAAGTCAGGCGTCTGGTCATCAGGGAGCTGCCGGTGAGACACATTAGGGGGGAAATCCCCAAAGTCGACGTTAGGTAACCCTAACCCAGCCCAGCACTTCTCCTGATCCAGCAGTACTCGTTTAGCTTTAGCTTAGCATAAAACCATGTAAGTGAATGGTACCCACTAGCCATGAGTGTGAAAGTGGCATTAAAACGACCCAATAGTGATTCTAGCTCTGATTGCTGACCTCAACAATCAGACTGGCTGCAAGTGGAAATAATAAATAAAACTAAAGCACTAGAGCCCTGCACGGGCCTAACATCTGAGCCCGTGTCCGGCCCGGCCCGAGGGGGTGGAGCCCCAGCCCGACCCGGTCCGAAAAGGTTTTCAGGATTCTCTGGCCCGACCCGAGCCCGACTTTTTTTTTAACCAGCTAAATGAAAACAAAGTGCGTCAATCCTGACCCATGTGTTAAAAGACGTGCAGGATCCGATCAATTTGTTTTTCCCTCATTTACCGTCACGGAGATGACGGCGCACTGGTTCTGGTGGTAATCAAGTTAAATTTGATCTCTTTCCAACAATTTTCACAAGAAAACAGAACAGTTAAAAGCAGGGCTTGTGTTGACCGGACAGTTCCCGTATTCGACCGTTTATTTTGATGGAGAAAGAATAGAAAGAATTACCCCGACGCATGCAGACGAACTGACATTTTATTCATTACGCACATCGCAGATGTAGCTAAATCACCCAAGAAAACATTCCCATCTGAACATCTGAGCTGCTCAGCGCAGCTCGCTGTCAGCACATATGTGCACAGCGAGCTGAAGGTGTGGAGAGGGGCTTGGAGCACGTCGCAGAACCAGAGCGCATGCGGGAAGGTTCCTCCCACTGAAGCGAGTGTTTTCCAAACCCTGTCGCTCAGAGAGACTTGTCACTTAGAAAATGTTCCCTGATTATGAAACTTTGGCTGAATAGCGCTTGTTCCTGTCTCCAATGTGGCGACGCATCCAGGAGCCGTCTGAGGAGAGTCCCAGAATCTCTTCAGCTCAGGAAGCGCCTATGATTATGCACAAGCGTGACGCGTCAACCCGGTCTCACAGTAAGACCGGGTGGACCTGTTCAGGTTTACGCAGACAATCTTTACATAGAATTGGCTTACAGATGTAAAATTAATGCAGTAAAATATAAAGCATTTTATTTAAGTATCCATTCATTATTTTACAAGCACAGAGAGCCGCATCAGATGGATGGAAGAGCCGCGGGTTGTGACATGTTTTCTCCAGGACCAGAGAGGACGCAAACTCAATACACCTCTTTTATTGTGAGGTAATGATTTCTCCGAGTTTTGCGGTTGCGGGCGGGAGTAGACATGCACACAGCGGGTGCGGGCGGGAGTAGACATGCACACAGCGGGTGCGGGCGGGAGTAGACATGCACACAGCGGGTGCGGGCGGGAGTGTAACACACACGTTGCAGTTGCAGGCGGTAATGGTCAGAAATTCAGCGGGAGCGGGATGAAGAAAACAGTCCCTCGCAGGGCTCTACTGCTGCGTTTGTGTTTCCTTTTTTTTTTTTTTATGAATTCAATTAAACATAAAGGCGCCCGGCCCGGCCCGTGTCCGAGGTAATTACACAGTCGTTGGCCCGAAGCCCGGCCCGAGGGCCTAGGGCTTCAGTGCAGGGCTCTATAAAGCGCCATTTTAGACTTGGGACAAGTTTATGTAATTGGCCCACAGTGGTGGGCCAATCACAGCGCTCTATCAGCTTTGGGGGCCAATCAGGGCCCTCTATTCATCTGGTGGGCGGGATGATGCGACGGAGAGGAACAAGATGGCGACTTTTACGTCAATCGTGGACCATTTGGAGTTGGGCTTTAGTAGAATCAGGAGCAGATGGATGTACTTAAGTCCTTTATTTAGAAAAAAAGATTTATTCTCTTTCTTCAACAGCGGGCCGCCTCGTTTACGACATCCTTTGTGGTGAGTACGTCACGTTGTCCGTTATCCAGTAGCAGTCTTCTCAGAGACAACGTAGAACCCGCCCCACGGCCGAGAACCGTCAATGGAGCGTTGCCAGACTAGGTTAAACAGGCAACCTGTTGATTAGTTTGAGCACGCCGCCACCTAGTGGCTGGGGGCGGTTTAGTGTTCCAGCATGAAAAAAATTGCTAAAAATTATGGACAACCCCCCCCCCCCCCCCCATCCCCCCCCCCCCCCCCCCCCCCCCCCGGAGGGCACAAAGGCAGAGCGAGTTCACATCAGTGGTTTATAAAGGACACTAGGGGGTGCTAAAGCACACTAAAACCAACTTTGTGTGCCTTTAAGTTCTCCACCCAGAGACGAGAGCTGCTGAATGGATCTTTGTCTCTGATAACAGCTTCACTTTCATCCTTGCTTTTACATTTGTGTTATCTTTAAAACGGCTCCTAAACTCATTCTGACTGAGCCCGGCTGGACCTCCGGTCCCCCCGACCCTACATGGTCCACCGCAGGTCAGACCATCCTCTCTATCAGGTGGACCCGGACCAACTACCGCTAAAAGGGTTCTGGCTGATCAGATCCCAGCTGAGGGACGAGCGGACCGAACCGGAGGAACGTTGTGGTGTGGGTGTTTGGTCGTGGAGTACCTGTCCGAAGGCAGAGCTGGTTGAAGTCCGAGCAGCAGGCATTGTAGGTCTTACAGAGGTTATCACAGCGACAGGTGGGAGGGTCCAGTTCCATCAGCTCAAAGCATCGGTTCCTGCAGGAGCCGGAGGTCGGCACGTACAGAGACCCGGAGCGAGCTGAGGACAGCAGAACAGAACTTTAGCCTTGGTGGATCCATCAGTTCTTGTTTTTGTGTAAATTAGAGGTCCGAACCGGACTGCTGGTGGGGGAACCTAGCAGAGAACCCCCAATCCGAAACTCGACCCAGCAGGAAGAGCTTTTGGACCTCCTGCTGAAGGTAGAAGGCAGGAGGGCATCACCCCAACCCAGAACATGCAGACCTTCTGGGTCCTGAAGCAGAGTCAGAGTCTGGGTTTCCTGAACACCAGAGTCCAGCAGCAGCTGGAACGTGATGGTTTTAGGAACAGCAACAGGAACACCCCCACCCTGCCCCCAGCTCTGGAACCAAATGGTACCGGCTGCTTTGTGAGAGTCGGACCTCTGAGTTCTGGATATTTCCTCCTTTGGAGCATGAAGGGATCTCTGACGGGTCAGAAACCTGAAGCCTAAACCAGTTTGAACAGAAAAGAAGATGTTCTGGAGCGACTGTCAGCCCTCAGCCGGGCCAACCGGGTCTGCAGATCAGAACCACCTCGCTTCCGTGTTGACTCAACACAGAGAGGAATAAACACTCTCTCTCCTTACGGCGCCATAGGGATCCGTCTTTGCTCCCTCCTCTCATTCGTGCTGGCAGACTCTGGACCTGGAACCGGGCCAAGTGACCGGGGGGGATTCCTCCGAAGCCATAGGTCCCGTCTGAGGGACCTCAGAAAACAACCAGCAGGCAGGCTCTGGTCCAGCTGGGGAGGGTGTGAACGGCTGACGTGTTGTAAAGTGCCTTGGGGGGCTGTACACCACTGCAAGGCGCTACAGAAACACAGGTCGTGTGCCATTGTGACAGGTTCAGGATGTTCTGCTCTTCCTGTCTGACCCGAGCTGAGCGTGACACGTTTGGAAGCGCAGCGCGTAAAAAAAGGTCGAAGCGTAAATTTAGCAGATCGACACAACAAAACGTTTCAAGGACAACAAGTCCAAAACGCGCCGCTCCACACCTGGTGGACACCCGGTGGACACACACCTGGTGGACACACACCCAGCGACTATAACGGCGGCTGTTAGCTGCGCGTTACGCGGACGTTACGCCACACGTACGCGTCCGGTGGAGAGCCGGGGTGAGGGGAGGGAGAACTTCTGAATGGAATGCAGCCATCACTAACACTTTCAAATCCCAACCTGAGCTGTGGAAGAGGCCCATTCCAGCCTGGTTCTGGTTTCAGATGTCTAGAACCAGAACCAGAACCAGGAGTCATGTGTATGTAAACCAGATCCAGAACCCAGCTGAGTCACTGGGCCGAGTATCCATCATGTTTCTGCCACCATGTCACCTGGTACGTCATCTCCCATGCCAGCTGTTGGTTACGTCATTACGCAGCTGCAGTTTGAGCTTGTAGCATTCTTTAGCGCCCCCTGGTGTGTGGATGTGGAGCAGGTGACGTGAAACACACCTGCAGGTTACTCACAGTCGGTCCTGGCTGAGGTCCCGTCCTCTCCAGACCGTCTGGGGCGACCGAACACCACCCCCCAGCACAGGTCCGACCCACACAGCATCCACACGAACTGGGAGGAGGACAGCAACGAACTGGTATTAGACCAGCTGCGACGGTTCTTTCATAAACACCTGGACCCGTATCCAGGTGTCCTCGTGCAGCTCATGACCGGAACCGGGAAGCGCATGCATGCGCACCGCGCGCGGATCTCACCGTACCAGGTTCTGTAGCAGCATGTTGTCCTGCGGGTCTGACAGCTGTCCTGGTCCTGAGGAGACTGAGACCACCGGAGAGGAGGGCCGTTAAAGAAAGCAGGGGCAGGGGGAGGAGAAGGAGAAGGGGGGAGGTCCGTGGTTCAGACTGGTGGGAGTCTCCCAGTTAGCAGCACCCAATGGAACCAGTCTGCATTTTCATGTTTTTCCAAAAGACTAAAACTGGGTTTGGATGTTTTATTCCATTTATTTTAGTTTGATCCAAATGTCCTGAACCAGTGAGCTAAAAGTCAGAAATCAGACAAAACCCTAGTTCTCCAGACAGGAAGTAACGTTCACTCTAGTCCTCTCCGGACAGGAAGTAACGTTCACTCTAGTCCTCTCCGGACAGGAAGTAACGTTCACTCTAGTCCTCTCCGGACAGGAAGTAACGTTCACTCTAGTCCTCTCCGGACAGGAAGTAACGTTCACTCTAGTCATCTCCGGACAGGAAGTAACGTTCACTCTAGTCATCTCCGGACAGGAAGTAACGTTCACTCTAGTCCTCTCCGGACAGGAAGTAACGTTCACTCTAGTCATCTCCAGACAGGAAGTAACGTTCACTCTAGTCATCTCCAGACAGGAAGTAACGTTCACTCTAGTCCTCTCCGGACAGGAAGTAACGTTCACTCTAGTCATCTCCAGACAGGAAGTAACATTCACTCTAGTCCTCTCCAGACAGGAAGTAACGTTCACTCTAATCATCTCCAGGCAGGAAGTAACAGTCACTCTAGTCCTCTCCAGACAGGAAGTAACGTTCACTCTAATCATCTCCAGGCAGGAAGTAACATTCACTCTAGTCCTCTCCAGACAGGAAGTAGCGTTCACTCCAGACAGGAAGTAACATTCACTCTAGTCATCTCCAGACAGGAAGTAACATTCACTCTAGTACTCTCCAGACAGGAAGTAACGTTCACTCTAGTCATCTCCAGACAGGAAGTAGTTCACTCAAGTCATCTCCAGACAGGAAGTAACAATCACTCTAGTCATCTCCAGACAGGAAGTAACATTCACTCTAGTCATCTCCAGACAGGAAGTAACATTCACTCTAGTCATCTCCAGACAGGAAGTAACGTTCACTTTAGTCATCTCCAGACAGGAAGTAGTTCACTCTAGTCATCTCCAGACAGGTGCCCATCTCCAGCTGTTAACGGGCAAGTAGGCGGGGTACACCCTGGACAGAGAGCCAGTCCATCAATGGTAAAAAGTGAAGGGGACAAAAATGGACTTTAAGTGGGGGGGACATGTCCCACCCTGTCCCCCCCAAAAAACTACATCCATGGCCCTTCACCAATGGTGATGGTCTTGTTCATAGTGTTACTTCTCTTTACGAGTGGCATTAGATAATGAGCCTTTAAAAAGGACCGGAGGTTGGCTTACTGGTCTAATTCAGTTCAGCATATTTATAACGCGCCAAATCAGGAGCAGTCGTCCCAAGGACCTTCACAGGAAACGCCCAATACAGCACAGGGGGCTCATCCTTACTAAAACCGTGCTTAAGCTCAGCAAAATGTGTGTGTGTCATGGAGGATGGCTGCTTATACTGAGCCAGGATTCTCTGGAGGTTTCTTCCTGTTAAAAGGGAGTTTTCCTCTCCACTGTCGCTGCATGCTTGCTTAGTATGAGGATTGCTGCTAAGACTGACACAAGTCAGTGACTCGATGCGACCTGCTGGGTTCCTTATATAGGAACTTTTACTTAACTCTGCACTGATAGGTACCCTCAGCTGGAACGTTTGCCTTGCTGTGGTCTGGCACTTTATAAATCAACTGAAGTGTTCTTCGGTGGAGGTCTGGTGGACTTGTGCAGCAGCAGGACCAGGACCATACAGCTGCTGCCTTCAACTCATCCTCCTCTTGAAGGCCTCAAGTCACTAATCTAAAAATAACATCTGCTTCCAAATCCCTTTGACCCAGGTTAAAGTGCGACCTGTGGATGAGGAGGTGCTCAGAGGCGCTCCAGCCAGCGTTAAACAGGAAATACAATCAGTGTGAAGTCATTTTAAAACAAGCAGTTAGAAAGGCTTTATTTGAATTCTTCATGTTGCTACAGGTGATGGTGACGGCCCTCAGATTTGTGTCCAGCAGCAACTCAAGGAAGGCTCAGGACCTTCTGCTTATCTAAAGGATGGACTGAATGGTGCCGACTCGCTCTTCTGTTAAAACCATCTAGTAGCTGCTGTGGATCTGGACTCCATCTACTCAGACATCAGAAGACGAAAGAGCTACAACACTACAACAAACACGGGTTCAGACGTTCCAGAGCCCTGGACCTGAGAGCCGCCGGATGCTGGGACTGAAGTGTCTCTGGGGGGGTGCAGGAAGGCACAGTATGTCTGGGTGACATGTCTGCTGAGGAACACGTAGATCCGAGGATGAAGGACCAACGGCCGTGTTGTCCAGAGTGTCTCTGAGGAATGAAAACGATACAGCTGCATCAGACGTGGACAGACACACGTCTCCAAGGACTCAAACCAGCACCTGTCTCACACATGTGCTCAGCTGGCCTGATCTGAACTGGCAGCAGCTGGAAGCTGAACCTGTCCAGATGTTCAGTCGGACAGAGACGGCGAGCGCAGGGACCTGCCGCTAGCTGGGCTGTTGCTGTAGACAAGAGGGTTGTCCTTGTCCTTACTGTCATGCTTGTGCTTATGCTTGTGTTTGTGCTTGTGCTTTTTCTTCTTCTTCTTGTGCTCGTGGTGGTGGTGGTGGTGGTGGTGGTGGCCGTGGTCTCCGCCGTGCTTGGAGGCCGAGGACGCCATCTCCTTGGAAAAGGGCAGAACCGGAGTGGCGGGCATGGCGAGCAGCGCCTGTTCCACCAACGGCGGCTCTTTACCTGAGAGAGGAGAATCTAAACATGAATGATTTATAATTCACCAGCGATAAACAGCTAAACTCCGCCCCCTGCTGACGTAAGCCACTGCCTGCAGCCTCCTTAACGTGAACTCTGGTTTCCCAACTCTCGACTAAAGCCGCTGTGCAGATGAAACGGTACACATGAACATCTGGTGCTAAAGTTCTTTCATGTCTGTAAAACAGCGCAGACTGAGAAACCATCTAAAGGCTCAGGAACCCTTCTGGATCCAGGCAGAATAAACCTCCAACAGAGCTCACCTACAGTTAGAGACGCGAGTCTTCACTAGTCTCAGATTCGATATCTTGATGCGCCACGATTATTTCATATGAGTTTATTTCACCAGAGAATAGAAAATGTCAGATATCTGAAAAACGTGTAGGAAGATTTAACAAAGTAAAACGTCGTTTCCTCGTTCAAACCCCAGGCTGTGGGAGGAAGCTGCTCTGCAGATGTGAACAGATGCTGAAAACCTGCAGCAGCTGGCCTTCCGTCTAGTTTATAACGTCCATAACGGGCCTATTTATTAATCACATGATTATGCTGCAGGTGAATGACATCATAACCGATTCATTCATGACCCATAATCATTTATCAGTTATCAGACTCATGTCGCGCGTGTGTGTGTGTGTGTGTGTGTGTGTGTTTACCAGGTGTAGAGGGCCTCTCTAATAGGGTTAGATGTTGGTGAATGAAAGCCTGACTGTCATGGACAGTCTCCATATCTATATCTTCATCCTCCATGGTGTTGAACTGGAACAAAACAGACATCAGGACCCAGTAGGTCTCAGGAGGTCCCAGTAAAACCCAGCAGGACCCAGTAGGTCCTAGCAGGACCCATCAAGAACAAACAGTATTCTCACCCTGATCTTGTAGCGGCTCCCTCTTCCATCCTCATCCTGCGGCTGGAGGACTTGTCCTGGTTCTGGAGGAGACCCCAGTGGAGTCTCTGCTTTCCTCTTCAGGCCCTGAGGGGGCTGGCCGACCCCACACACCCCCAGAGAAATGGGATCTGGCTCCTCGTCCACCTGAGCGAGAACACACACGGTTCCACTGAAGATGTGACTCCTGAACCAGGCAGCCTAACCCTAACCCAGAAATCATCCCAAACCAAAACGTTAAGGTGGTTTTGAGGACTTGTGTCGGTCTGATCATCAGATCTGTGTGCTTCTCTGGGGATTCTGGGTGATGTCATAGCATCAAGGTTCAGCCAGATACCGGGCAGCAGATGACGGGACCACAACTACACCCATCCCACCAGCTGGAGCATGATCACTGACCAGCATGAGAGGAAACCCAGACCTCCACAAAGCTTGTTGCTGACATCATTACTGGCGTTCAGGAGCCGAGTCCACTCATCAGGAGCTGGAACATCACCTTATTGCTCTGAAGCGCCGTCTTCCAGATGCCAGCCTCAGGAGTCGAGTTCACATCTCTGACGTACTGTGGAAGTTCTCTTATTCCACACAGATGACCCAAACAGGCTTCCATGTTAGGACCAGGTCCGACACCTGCAGCGGTCTCTAGTAGAACCGACGCTCTTGTGAGTGGATCTCTGTGGGGAAAGCTCTGGCGCTCCTGTTTCAGGAGGTAGAAGTGAGCCAGAGCAGGGAGAAGCTTCAGGTGGCTAGACATTATTTCCTGATTTTTGGACATCTCCCCTCTGATTGGCCAACAGCAACATGACTCTACCACAGCTAATGCTAACAGTTAGCTTCTACCAGTGAGACTCTGAACTCACCGAACCGCGTTGGTTTCATAATTCCTGAATAATAATCATTCCTCGTCAATGCGAGCGGCTTCTGGCCAGACTGGACGCTAAAGCGGCCCGTTTCTCATTCCTACAGCCATTCTTGGGCATTACTGACCAACAGCGTTTTTAGATTATTACACTGATTATGTATTTTATCAAAGCGGTTAACTTTGGAGCAGCAGAGACGACCTTTAGAGGACAGACAGAACGTCGCACACACGAGGGTACAGGCCAGATCCAGCTACAACCGGTATACATGTATAAAAATAAAACACTCATCAAAGTAAGGATGTCGTTTACAATTTGACCTTCTGCTGCCTGCATGCTAGCATAGATGCTACACTTTTATAGACTTAGATGCCTGAGGTTCAGAGTGCTGCCACTCTGGTTGCTGAGTAAAACAACGCCCACGCTCACGTGTGCAACAGCAGAGCCTCCCCGCCTCATTTACACTACCCGACTTCATAAATGACGCCTCGTTAACGAGCGCCAGCTTTTACATTCGCTAGCGAGCCGTCCCGTTTCTGATCAGGAACGTGCATTTTATGGAAGTCACGTAAAATCTGATTATTGCACACTGACAGAAGCAAGGCTGCCGTACACGGGTACCGGTCCCTCCGACCACCACCAGCAAGCAAGGGGTTAAGTGTCTTGCCCAAGGGCACGATGACAGAGACAGACTGAGCGGGGCTCAAACCTGCAACCTTCGGACTACGGGGTGAGCACTTAACTCCTGTGCCGCCGTCGCTCCATAGCGAATGGAGTCGGGAAGATAAAACCATCCAATAATTTTACTGTAAAAAGATCCTGACATGATATTTCTGACACACACACACACACACACACACACACACACACACGCGCACACACACACACACACACACACACACACACACACGTGCACACGCGCACACACACACACACACACACACACAGTTCCTCTAACAGCCACTCACGGATGAGTAGCTCATGCCCACTCCGTGGATGCCGATGCTGGCAGGTGTCTCCATGACGACGCCGACTCCGAGCTCGGTCTTGATGGTGGGGTTGAGGACAGCTTTCTTCTCCTTCAGGTTGAGCACCAGGCCCAGCTCTGGCAGCGGCAGGCAGGACGGCCGGGTCAGACCGAACAGCGTGTAGTAGAGGTTCACGGCGTCGCAGCGCAGCCGCCAGTCGTGGGACGTTCCTACATAAAGTGGTGGGACCAAGAGGACGTGGTGAGGCCCAGTTCTGGTTTCATACAGTAAATACTCCACTTTTACATTCCCACTGAGACAATACCAAAGCACACAATGTGTCCTCTGTCAGAGGACCAGCAGCATAGAGCAGAATGCTGCTGAAGATGACGGTCCAGGAGATGAGGCGCCAGACGGTGGGGGGGCTGACTGTGGCTCCAGAACATGGCTGTAATAAATTAGCAGCAGCGGTGGTACAGGACTGACCTTCAGCTGCTGAAACATCATCCTGTGAGAGTGTGTGGGGGTGCAGCGGAGACAAGAACAACCAGCACATTTTCTTAAGGTGGTATTTAAGTTGACCACACTGGTCTCCCAGTGTTTAAACTGGCAGCAGCGTCCCACGCTACGCTGGCCAACAAACAGCCGTCCTCCCGCCTCCTCGCTGCAACAAGAGCTCCGCGCTCGCCAGGAAGCTGTGAACAGATTCTTATTGGGTTTGTGAGGCCGTGGGTATTTGTGTTGGCACGGAGCAGCTCTACGGCCGGGTTTGCTAGCTCTAAAGTACACGCAACCCCCTGGAAGTAAAAGAAACAATGAAACCCGAGTACACAATAGGAGACAGGAACCGGGCCTGGGCCTGGGCTCTCAGGTTTTAGGAATGATGGACAGAGTCAGGAAGCTCGTTTCGTCCGAGACGCTCACCCAGAACACGCACGACTACAGGGGTGGAGTCAACACCAGGCTCATCGCGGTGCTCCTCAGGAGACCATCACGCTCTCTAGACTGGAACCATTACAACCCTAACCCACTGGGCTGTCTCATATAAACCCAGTTTGGCTTCCTGGTGAGTGAACTCACCATAACAGTTCTGTGGTATCACCATAACTGGGGGGGGGGGGGGGGGGGGGTTTAACCAGAAGGCTGGAATAGTAACGTTGGATCCAACTCTTCTTTCCTTTGGTAAACCGTGAAACTAGACATCAGGATGGAGACCAGGTCGGATCTGTAGACTGGTTGGACTTTATGAACTTTTGTTTCTGACACCTCCAGGTCCAGGCTGGACGGATGCCGACCTCCTGATGACACGTGGACTCAGAAACACGATAATCCTTGTTTTTTTCTAGCTCTTCGCCGGTTTTTGTTGTTTGGTCGATGAAACTTGAATCTAGGAATGACTAACGTTGATCCTTCACACCAACAGGGACCTTTCCGAGTAAACAGCCTGAACCACTCAGATGTTGCATTACCTGATGAACTCTACTGAGTCTGAAGGTTGGTTCTGAGCAGAGAAAAGTCTGGATTCCCAACATAAAAGCAGATAATCCAGCGCAGCAGCGACTGATTATTTTAACGTTCCCTCAGCGAGCTCTGGGACGTGCTGCAGTATTTATTCAGGTCGTTAGAGTTCAGCTGCAGCAGATGGTCTCCAGCAGTCTGACTGAAGTTCTTCCAGCAACTAAATGGTTCCCAGCAGCAACAGAATGATGAGCTACCACGTGGTCCTGGACCGGCAGCCAAACTCGCTCTTTAGAGAGTTCTCACAGCTCAGAGAGGACTCTGCAGCCAGCTCTGCAGCAGGTCTGAAGCCAGCTCACCTTCCTTGGCTGGTGGCAAGATGGTGCTTTATAACCATCCCAGAGGTCAAACGCGCCCAGCTGGAGGAGGATCATCTTCCTCACCAACAGAGGATGAAGTAGCAACAGCAGCAGCAGGAGGAGGAACCTCCTCTTCAACTCCTGCTGCCTGAGCTGCACCTCCCTCCCCTGAGGAGAAGGAACCCGCTACCGACCCAGACTCTCCACGTTATAAAGCAGAGCCCTCTAGTATCAGGGTTAGCGCTGAGGCCCAACAACACCAGCAGAGCGTGTGAAACCTTCTCTGACGTCTCCGTCAGCGACGGCGCACAGCTGCTGAGGAAAGTTTTCCTCCTGGGGAGGGTAAGCAGTTCCCCGCCAGGACATTAGGAGGCGTTTTTCTGGAGGGCTTCAGCCACACTGAAGACACATCTCTGGTCAACAGTAGTATATTTACTTTTGTGTGTTTATTTGTATTTCTCAGACATTTAAACAGGGTTAGGGTTTGTTCCTCATTCTCCTCATCAGCAGCACCTCCAAATCCACGTTTGCGGTCAATTCCTTCTATGAATGAAACATCTGCTGTGCAGCCTGGCTTCTTTATTTAAGGACGTATACATGTTCGTATTATCAGACTTCTTCTGGAAGTTCCTCTGCTGCTAGACATCTTTGCTACTGTTTTTAATGGCAGCGCTGTTGATGAATTTACAGGAAGTGATGTTCTGACCAATCACAGGCTAGCACTCTTCATGGGCTTTGACAGTAAAAATTAGCCACGTCTCCATCAGCCTCTGCGGGCCTGTCCCAGAGCATTTGTGTCCCAACATCACGTGTCTCCGTGCTGCAGCAGACAGACGAGTATGAAAGAGGTTTTAGTCTAGAGAACGACAGCCCTTAAGCTCCGCACGTGGATTCACCGTAGACGGAACGAGTGGATGTAGAGCTCAGAGCTCATTTGTTCTGGGAGAAGGAGAAGGCACAGAGCAGTGGTCCAAACACACAAATGTGTCTGAGTCAGTTACAAAACCCTTATATGAGGAAAACCAAGCAGATAAAGGTTAATGTTAAAAAATAAAAACACAAATAATTGTTCTTCTGGTCCCAAAGGTGTGTGGGTCTTACCGGAGTTCATAAACTTCCACAGCTGATCCACCAGAGCCTCGTTACACAGAGGGGAGTCGGCTGTCTTAGTGAACGGTGGATTCTTACAGAGCAGGCACAGGATCTTATGTCTGCGTCAAGAAGAAAACACCAGAGATAGTTAGGAAAGGAGCTAGTCAGGAAGGCTGGGGGTAAACGATTATTTTTAAAACGATTATTCTGACGATTATTTTATCGAATAGTCGACTATTCTAATGACTATTTAGAAAATTAATCTAATGATTATTTTTCTATTGCACAATTAACAAAAACCAGAAAATCTCAAATAAATTCCTCAAAAAAATGGATAAATTCTTACTGTAAGAGAATAAACACTACAGGCCTTCCATTTTGTATAACACTGCTTTTATTGTGTTGGTTGGTTATGTTCTGGTGGCGTGTAGAACTTGGGAGTGCAGGCTGCTGCCTGAGAGGTGGTAGAAGATGGAGTGTCTCCATGCTGCTTTGTTTTGGTCACTTATGTGCGTGAGGCGAGTGGTGTTACGGGTTAAACCAAACTCAGGTGATATTTTACACTAAACCGAAAACCCACAACACTCTAAATGTAATAAAAGGGAGATCTGCACCACAAAAAAGATGAACTCTAAACCAAAACGTAACAGCTTATCCCAACGCAAGAAGCTGTTAGCGAAGATGCTAACAGTAGCTTTACCAACATTAAGTTCAAGTTACCAAGTTTAAATAAACCAAAAACACCCAGCAGCAAACAGACCAGCACGGAGGAGAGACTGCTACCACCAAAACAGCTCTCCTCATGTCTGAAAGAAGCTCCTTAATGAAGGGAGAAATGCTCCCGGTGATTTTCTACATCTGCGATAGAGACGGAGCAGCGCATCTGACCCCGGAAGTTGTTGTCCGTTGCCGGGAGACGAAGGGGCAAAACAGGAAAATAATCTAGTAACGGACGGACGTTGTTCCGGGTCTTCGGTATTTGGCGGAGATGTTAGTGAAGGCGGAGAAGAGGGCGAACTAGAGGAAAAACAGGCAGATTCCTCCTCTATTTACAAACTCCTGGGGATGCAACAAGTGGGCGCGGTGCATCGACTTCCGGATCTGACGTCGACAAATTTTTAGAATCGAGTCATCGACTTCGTCGAGGCTTCGCTACAGCCCTACTAGTCAGGAAGGGTGCTAGTCAGGAGAGGAGCTAGTCAGGAGAGGAGCGAGTCAGGAGAGGAGCTAGTCAGGAGAGGATTCAGTTAGAAGAAGAGTCAGTTGGGAAGAGTCAGTCAGGAAGGGAGCTAGATAAGAGAGGAGCTAGTCAGGAGAGGAGCTAGACAAGAGAGGAGCTAGTCAGGAGAGGATTCAGTTAGAAGAAGAGTCAGTTGGGAAGAGTCAGTCAGGAAGGGAGCTAGATAAGAGAGGAGCTAGTCAGGAAGGGCGCTAGTCAGGAGAGGAGCTAGTCAGGAAGGGCGCTAGTCAGGAGGGGAGCTAGATAAGGGAGGAGCTAGTGAGGAAAGGAGCTGAATAAGAGAGAAGTTAGTCAGGAGGGGAGCTAGTCGAGAGAGGACTCAGTTAGGAGAGGAGCTATTTAGGAGAGGATCTAGATAGGAGAGGAGATAGTCAGGAGAGCAGTCAGCTAGGAGAAGAGTATGTTAAGAGAGGAGCTAGATAGGACAGGAATTAGGTAGGAGAGGAGCTAGTCAGGAGAGGATTCAGTTAGAAGAAGAGTCAGTTGGGAAGAGTCAGTTAGGAGAGGAGCTAGTCGGGAAAGGAGTCAGTTAGGAGAAGAGTCAGTTAGGAGAGGAGTCAGTTAGGACAAGAGTCAGTTAGGAGAAGAGTCAGTTCGGAGAGGAGATAGTTAGGAGAGGATTCAGTTAGAAGAAGAGTCAGTTGGGAAGAGTCAGTAAGGAGAGGAGCTAGTCGGGAGAGGAGTCAGTTAGGAGAAGTCAGTTAGAAGAGGAGTCAGTTAGGAGTAGAGTTAGTTAAGAGAGGAGTCAGTTAGGAGAAGAGTCAGTTAGAAGAGGAGTCAGTTAGGAGAAGAGTTAGTTAAGAGAGGAGTCAGTTAGGAGAAGAGTCAGTTAGGAGAGGAGTCAGTTAGGAGACAAGTCAGTCAGGAGAGGAGTCAGTTAGGAGACGAGTCAGTTTGGAGAGGAGCTAGGTAGGAGAGGAGCTAGTCAGGAGAGGACTCAGTTCGGAGAGGAGATAGTTAGGAGAGGATTCAGTTAGAAGAAGAGTCAGTTGGGAAGAGTCCGTAAGGAGAGGAGCTAGTCGGGAGAGGAGTCAGTTAGGAGAAGTCAGTTAGAAGAGGAGTCAGTTAGGAGTAGAGTCAGTTAGGAGTAGAGTTAGTTAAGAGAAGAGTCAGTCAGGAGAGGAGCTAGTCAGGAGAGGAGCTAGTCAGGAGAGGAGTCAGTAGAAGAGTAAGTTAGGAGAAGAGTCAGCTAGGAGAAGAGTATGTTAGGAGAGGAGCTAGATAGGAGAGGAATTAGGTAGGAGAGGAGCTAGTCAGGAGAGGATTCAGTTAGAAGAAGAGTCCATTGGGAAGAGTCAGTTAGGAGAGGAGCTAGTCGGGAAAGGAGTCAGTTAGGAGAGGAGTCAGTTAGGACAAGAGTCAGTTAGGAGAGGAGCTAGTTGGGAGTGGAGTCAGTTAGGAGAAGAGTCAGTTAGGAGAGGAGCTAGTCAGGAGAGGAGTCAGTTAGGAGAGGAGTCAGTGAGGAGAGGAGTCAGTTAGGAGAGGACCTAGATAGGAGAGGAGCTCGGTAGGAGAGGAGCTAGTCAGGAGAGGAGCTAGACAAGAGGAGCTAGTCAGGAGAGGACTCAGTTAGCAGAGGAGCTAGTTAGGAGAGGATTCAGTCAGAAGAAGAGTCAGTTAGGAGAGGAGCTAGTCAGGAGAGAAGTCAGTTAGGAGAGGAGCTGGTCAGGAGAGGAGTCAGTTAGGAGAGGAGTCAGTTAGGAGACGAGTCAGTTAGGAGAGGACCTAGATAGGAGAGGAGCTCGGTAGGAGAGGAGCTAGTCAGGAGAGGAGCTAGACAAGAGGAGCTAGTCAGGAGAGGACTCAGTTAGCAGAGGAGCTAGTTAGGAGAGGATTCAGTCAGAAGAAGAGTCAGTTAGGAGAGGAGCTAGTCAGGAGAGAAGTCAGTTAGGAGAAGAGTTAGTTAGGAGAAGAGTTAGTTAGGAGAAGAGTCAGTCAGGAGAGAAGTCAGTTAGGAAGAGTCAGTTAAGAGAGGAGCTAGTCAGGAGATGAGTCAGTTAAGAGAGGAGTACAGTTAGAAGAGGAGTCAGTTAGGAGTAGAGTCAGTTAGTAGAGTTAGTTAGGAGAGGAGTTAGTTAGGAGAGACAGTCAGCAGACATAAAACCATTGAGGTTTATCTTTGCCAGAATTGCAGAGGAGCTTTCACCCTTTCATCACAGTGGTGAAATCATACTATACACAGACACTGACCATGCTTCCCCTCCACCACCCTCAGCACCACCATGCTGCATGGTGCCAATGCCACTGGGGTGTCATTTATGACTGAAGTCGATAAAGAGCTGTTTGCAGATGCTTCATTCTCACAGTAAAGTGTGAGATTATTTGGGTTTTCACAATAGTCTGAGGATGTTGATGATTCTCTACAGAAAACTAGATAAAACATGCCAAAAAAATAGAAACAAATAGAAGGGGTGCATATTATACGTATTAGTGAATCTGACTATGTGAGCATTTCACTGACCTGACATAATGAACTGGGTCATTCAGGACCATGTTGAACAGCCACTGCAACTCTGATGAGCTCCTTTCAACTAAATACAAACAATAACAAACACACACAGACACAAGCAGAACTACGTAACCAACAGAAAACACATCATGCCTCCACAGATCCGTGTTCCAACTCTTCATCTAAATACAGCAAACTTGTTTTTGTTTTTTTCAGATTTGATCATGACCCGACCTGCTGGTACTGATTAAAACTGAATATACCTCTAGTGTAGTCCACTAGAGCTTCCAGCGCAGCAACACGGACGTCCACAAAGTGTCCGTACTCGGAGTAGGACTTGTAGAGAGACGGGTCACTGGGGATGTGACCGTTCTTCTGCAGCTGACGGATAGCTCGCAGACAACTGAAAAAAGTCAAAGACCAACAAACTTCTGTTGTTCTGGTGTCCTGATAGACTGAGCTGAAAAGCAGCCTGACAGACGTTCTGCTCTGTACCTAACAGTAATGGTGTTCCTGAAGCTTGGCAGCAGTTTTTCCATGTTTAGATACCGCGTGATCTCCTCCAGGATGAAACGGACATCAGCGTTTAAATTGTCCACTGTCCGCACCTCATTATTGATGCTGATTGCTGGAGTCAGAGAGTTGGTCAGGGCCTCAATCAGCTCTGCCCGGTAGTAGTTATCTGAAAACTGCAGGGAGACAGAAACACAATAAAAGATGATAAAACCGGTCCTCAAAATTATTTGCTTTTATGAGCAAAAGAAAATTACAGCAACATGAATAACCCCAACCGTAACATCACCCTACAAAAATTGGGACAACAGACAGTAGGGTAAAGTACTGTCGTACCTTCTGCAGTGTTTAAAGTTACTGTTGTACCCTCTGTAGTGTCTAGAGTTACTGTAGTGCCCTCTGTAGTGTCTAGAGTTACTGTTGGGCGCTCTGTAGTGTCTAGAGTTACTGTCCTGCCATCTTAAGTAGCTAGTTACTGTTGTGCACTCTGTAGTGGCTAGTTACTGTAGTGCCCTCTGTAGTGTCTAGAGTTACTGTTGTGCACTCTGTAGTGGCTAGAGTTACTGTCCTGCCCTTTGTAGTGGCTACAGTTACTGTCCTGACCTCTGTAGTGTCTAGGGTTACTGTAGTGCCCTCTGTAGCAGCTAGAGTTCCTGCCGTACCTTCTGTAGTGGCTAGAGTTCCTGTCCTGACCTCTGTAGTGTCTAGGGTTACTGTAGTGCCCTCTGTAGCAGCTAGAGTTCCTGCCGTACCTTCTGTAGTGGCTAGAGTTCCTGTCCTGACCTCTGTAGTGGCTAGAGTTCTTGTTGTACCCTCTGTAGTGTCTAGAGTTACTGTTGTGCACTGTGTAGTGGCTAGAGTTACTGTCCTGCCCTCTGAAGTGGCTAGAGTTCCTGTTGTGCCCTTTGTAGTGGCTAGAGTTCCCGTTGTGTCCTCTGTAGTGGCTAGAGTTCCTGTCCCGCCCTCTGTAGTGGCTTGAGTCCCTGCCGTATCTTCTGTAGTGGCTAGAATTACTGTTGTATCTTCTGTAATGGCTAGAGATACTGTCGAGCCACCTGTAGTGGCCAGAGTTCCTGTCGTACCCCATATAGTGGCCAGAGTTCCTGTTGTACCCCCTGTAGTGGCCAGAGTTCCTGTTGTACCCCCTGTAGTGGCCAGAGTTCCTGTCGTACCCCCTGTAGTGGCCAGAGTTCCTGTCGTACCTCAAGTAGTGGCCAGAGTTCCTGTTGTACCCCCTGTAGTGGCCAGAGTTCCTGTCGTACCCCCTGTAGTGGCCAGAGTTCCTGTCGTACCCCCTGTAGTGGCCAGAGTTCCTGTCGTACCCCCTGTAGTGGCCAGAGTTCCTGTCGTACCCCCTGTAGTGGCCAGAGTTCCTGTCGTACCCCCTGTAGTGGCTTGAGTTCCTGTTGTATCTTCTGTAATGGCTAGAGATACTGTTGTACCCCCTGTAGTGGCTAGATTTCATGTCGTACCCCCTGTAGAGGCCAGAGTTCCTGTCGTACCCCCTGTAGAGGCCAGAGTTCCTGTCATACCTCCTGTAGAGGCCAGAGTTCCTGTCGTACCCCATGTAGTGGCTTGAGTTCCTGTCGTATCTTCTGTAATGGCTAGAGATACTGTCGTACCCCCTGTAGTGGCTAGAGTTCATGTCGTACCCCCTGTAGAGGCCAGAGTTCCTGTCGTACCCCCTGTAGAGGCCAGAGTTCCTGTCGTACCCCCTGTAGAGGCCAGAGTTCCTGTCGTACCCCCTGTAGAGGCCAGAGTTCCTGTCGTACCCCCTGCAGTGGCCAGAGTTCCAGTTGTATCCCCTGTAGTGGCCAGAGTTACTGCCGTACCCCCTGAAGTGGCCAGAGTTCCTGTCGTACCCCCTGTAGAGGCCAGAGTTCCTGTCGTACCCCCTGCAGTGGCCAGAGTTCCTGTCATACCCCCTGTAGTGGCCAGAGTTCCTGTTGTACCCCCTGTAGTGGCCAGAGTTACTGCCGTACCCCCTGAAGTGGCCAGAGTTCCTGTCGTACCCCCTATAAGGGCCAGAGTTCCTGTCGTACCCCCTGCAGTGGCCAGAGTTCCTGTCATACCCCCTGTAGTGGCCAGAGTTCCTGTTGTACCCCCTGTAGTGGCCAGAGTTCCTGTCGTACCCCCTGCAGTGGCCAGAGTTCCAGTTGTATCCCCTGTAGTGGCCAGAGTTCCAGTTGTATCCCCTGTAGTGGCCAGAGTTCCTGTCGTACCCCCTATAAGGGCTAGAGTTCCTGTTGTGTCATCTGCAGTGGCTAATCTGAAGGTGCAGCTACTGTCCTTAAAGAGCAAGTCACCCCCAAGTCAACTTTGTTTTCCTGATAAACTATATAAATGCGTGTCTGTTAGCGGCTCCGCCCTCTCGGTCTGCTAGGCGACAGCATTTGTTGCATTTTTCAAACAATAAGTGGGCGTTGAGTAAGAATCTGGTAGGGGGTGACTTGCTCTTTAAATAACTGCTTAAATTAGGAGCAGCAGAACTTTGACCGATTAGTCTAAACCAATAATAAAAGATAAAAGTGCAAAACAGGAAAACAAGTGAAAAATAAGGACATCAGAGACATGTGAGCTTTGCAGTTTCATACGTCGTGTTGGTTGAAAGACAATGAAGTGGGTGTGTTTACTTTGTTTTTGCGGTTGTCGTTATATTTGATGAGGTCGAGTATAAAGTTGAGGACATCTTTTGGACAGAGGTTCTGCACATCTCTGAGCAGCGCCATGGCAACAGGCATTGTCTAAGAACAGAAAACACAGACTGTGTTACGGTCTCTTAAATCAAACAAACAGAACTCACTCAAAACAAGTAAGTTGTACTGTCAGTTAGGTCCAGTTGAGAACTCCTTAACTCTGATCAAATGTTTTTAAAGTTATGACATAAACACCTTCAGCAGGTTAAGTGAATAAATCACGTTTTAGCATTTCTATTCACTATAAGCAAGGTCCCATTCTGGCTTATAACAGACCTAGACCTGAATGTGTGTGTGTGACGACAAACTGGCCTCAGGTCAGTAATCAGTAATTAGTTTAAAGCCGTTGTTTGGTGATGTGTAATAAGAACAGCCGGAGGAACAGCATTTTACAAAAATTAAATGATTAAACTATTTAAAGGTTTGTGTGCGACACACCCAGGAACCAGCTGTTTAATAAGGAGGGGATAAATGTGGTCTAAACATCGTGGTTTCTCAGAGCCAGACTCTCACTGCTGAACCGGTGGCTTCACCAGGGAGTTTCCAACAGATCTCAAACTTTTCTAACGTCTCGTTCCTTGCGTGGGTCTCATTTAGCTGGAAGTTTTAACATGTTTTTGAGAAAGTCACGGAATTGTGCTGCACATCTCTGGAACTTGTCTCGAACCCTTTGACCTGTTCTCGCTTGCTCCTGGTCTTTGTTTCTTCCAGTTAGAAAGAGTGAGACAACCTTGAAGCTGTCGGAGAACAACTTAGGACCAGGTTCCCCCGGCGCCTGGGGGAACCCCTGTAGGACTCTTGGTGACTAAACTATATTTGAAGGGCAGTCACAATTTGTAATTGATGCATTACTGATCCCTGTGGGAAATCCGACCTCTCCCTGAGGGGCAGTGGACCCCAACGGACAACTTTCAGGAGTCAGTCCCTTGCCCAAGGGAACTTTGAGAAGGTGCCCGCCGTGGGCTGGGACTGACAACCCCCTCACCCCTCGAGCTGCGGCTGCTCCTAACCATGTCCTAAGTGACCTGTGACCTGGCCAAAGGAACCTCCTTGCCTTGTTTGCACCACTGACCAAGTACCGAGGAATCGGTGATTCTCGAACAGAAAAACGAGTCGATAGGAGAGGAACTCTAGGCACACACAGCTTAGACAAAGACGTGTTGGTTTGGGTTGTACCTTCTGCAAGAAGTAACTCTGGAAGTTGATGAAATTGTTGGTCTTGACGATGTTGGGGCAGCTCTTACAGCAGAACATTCTGGTGAACAGAGACTTCATGGCTGGAGGACCCTGCCACGTGCTCACCATGGAATTAGCGATCTGCAAGAGTCAACGTGACAACAGCTGAAGGCCTTCTGCCACAGAACAGTCCACTGTTTTATTTAGGCTTCTGCAGCTTAGTGGGACAGATCGGACCGAACCAGAACCTTTCAGTGTGGATTCTGTTGGTCTACATTTTACAAGTGGCCTAAAAGTACAGGATGAATCTAACGGGGGCGTCTGAAGCGGTCTGTGAGCTCCGACAGGATGTGGGGAGTTTATGTTAACGTGGTAATGAGGGGTCAAGGGTCACCGACAGAGGATGTTGTCATTTGGCTAAATGAAGACAAGGAGTGAGCACACCGGATGATTGTATGTGTGTGTATGTGCGTGTGTGTGTGTGCGCGTGTGTGTGTGTGTGTGAGCGTGTGTGAGCGTGTGTGAGTGTGTGTGTGTGCGTGCGTGAGCGTGCGTGAGCGTGTGTGTGGTGCCATTACAATGGAGTCTGTTGGGTTCTGAGGCTAACTGCAGTAACGTAATGAAAGACCATGTCTACCCCCACTCGCTGCGAAAATATTGGTTCAGGTGTAACTGAAGGGGTGGAAATCCAAGTCAGAGGAGCCCAAATCCAGAGAACAGAGACTTTCCCGCAGCTGCAGGAGACTGTTCAGTCCACGGTGAGGCTAGGGTTAGCCCGACGGCTGCTGCTGCCTCTTCAATGTGAAAGAGAGTTTGGACTGAAGAGGTGAGGATGTGCCAGAAGTCTGAAACAATAAACAGAACCTCCTTCTGCTCGCGCTTCATCCCTGGCTTTCTCAGACCTTCTGGTCTGAAGCTAACCTGAGGAATTTGTTTCTCATTCTTTCCCCTGCATGTGTATTTTGACTGGACATGTGGCCTGGGTTTATTACACAGCTGAGGATCATTAAGCAGTTGCTGCAGTCCATCAGACTTTCGTACACAGAATTCCTTCTCCCATCAGATGGCACCACCAACTATTAAAACCAGAGGCACGTGAAGCAGGAAGTGCAACTCCATGAGGTTTGAACCTGCTCCTGAGGGTTTACCCTCAGAGTCTCACTGAGCTGCAACTGCTGGTGTTCTTTTGGCAGGCTTAGGGTCACATGACCCAGCCAGCTGTAAAATCGGGTCGGTGCGATTCTGACTGGAAATGTCCTCATCATCTCGACTCCAACTGTTGAGACACACCTAACAGGTGGACATGTGTTAAAGCGTTCTGACAGTTCCCTTCCCACTCCTGCTGCTCGATAAAGCCACGGTCCTCTGATGGAGTTCCACCTTTAGGACTGGTCCAAAGCACCCCCGCCGTACCTGAGCAGCGGCGGGGCTTCAGACGCCTGGTGAGAGCCGCTCGGGCACACAGAAGAAAAACAAAGCTGACCTTAGCCAAGCAGAAGCAGGCCTGCATGCGGACTTTGTAGAAACACTGTTCCTGCTCTAGGATGTCGGTCAGAGCCAGTCTGGAGGCAGGAGTTGGGAATTTCTCCAGAGCTGAAATGGCTTCCTCCTACAAAACAGGGGCGCATCATCACTAAACATCCACCTGAGATTTAAGTGAATGAACTCTGACGGACAGATGAAAGCCGCTCTGGACCAGCTGACCATCCCTGTAAACAGGTGCAGGTGTGATGGTGGAATCCAGAGATCCTACCTGTGCAACCACGTCCCTCTCATACCGCAGCTGATACTGCCACATGAAGTCAGCCTGCTCAAACTCCACCTTCCTCAGGATGGACATGTCCGGGTCGATTCGGATCCAGAGCAGAGGAGAGTCGGCGCTGCGGAGGAACAACAAGCCTTACAACTACACAGTCCTGCAGGCTGGTGGAAACTCATCCCTGCTAGCTTTGCTGTTCTTACTCCATGGCAGACAAATCCATGTCAACTTCTTCTCCATTCATCAGAGGAATCTTCTTCTTCTTGTTTCTGGAGAAGCAGACAAAGACTAAGCTGCGTGGTGACGGTGGAGAACGACGGGGACTTTACTACGCTACCTTCTGCTCTTTGAGTGGCAGGGGATGTCGTGTTTAAGGCTGTTCTCCTCGATCTGCAGCGTGTGGTTGAAGGAGCCGTCTAGTTCCTGTACAGTCACCTTGATGGGGCCCTACAGAGGAAACAGCAGTTAGGTGGTTCAGGTGCACTCGACCTGTGGAGTTGGTGTCATGTTCTGGTTCCCTCAGCTGCAGCTGGACTTTGGTAGTGGTTTGTTGCTGCAGCCCTGACACGTTCACATCTTTCCCTGAGAGAGGCTGTTCTTACTCAGCCGCTGGCCGGACTGCGCC